CCCCAAAACCCCAAAACCCCAAAACCCCTCTGATATATAAAATATTGAATATATCTTCATGATGGATTACAACACAACAACTAGGGCACTGAAATTAATCGAGGAATCATTGAACATCATTCATTTTGAAATAGGAGAAGAGGAGGAAGAATTCCCTGAACTTCAGGAATATCATTCATCAACTAAACCAAGTATGCTATTAGGTTAATATTAAGGCTCCAAGGCTAGACATTTTGCAGGGACTAGCTTTTAGTGGTAAAAATAATTCCTCTTCACTCAACCAGCAATATATTGAAGAAGGCTATGAGTCTCATGAGGGAGGTAACCATACTGATTCCTCAAGACATTTTATCTAAATTAACTATAGATGTCGACCATGTTATCCCTTATTATTATGGCAATAAAAACAATACCATCAAAATCCCAGTGAAGAAGAGATTTAATGAAGATTCACCTAATTTCAGGCCAGATTCAAACGGAATTGAGGGAACTTCTTCAGAGATCATGACTGAAGATGATGATCTGAAAGAGATTTTTGTCAACCAGGATTATGACAACAAGCCCTTTCGAGTACGAAAAATTAAGAAGAATATTGTTAAACCTCCTTTACAACCGAAGCTACAGAAGCCTGAATACCATACTGTGGAGAATACATCGAAGCCTAATTCTCAGGACTCTGGGTCATTTTCACAGGTATTTTTGGCATTTCATACATAGCTGTTTTCTAAAAACAACATTGAAGAGGTCTAAAGACAGATGGAATTGATAGAGAATTCACTCCTCAGAAAGAGTTGGACAACAGCAATCATTCTTTGCATCTTTCTGAGGGGAAATTTAAGAATCTCTCATTCGGACAGGAGTTTACTGTTAGTCAGAAGCACAACCCAAACCCACATATAGCGTCTAAAATAGTGGTTGTCAGCTCTAGAAGGGTGAATAGTGATAAATAAAGCTAAAAAGACAAAGAAAAAGGTTATTAAAGTTAAGAAAAGAGGTTCTAAAAAGACACATACCTTGAACAATTCGTTATCAGACTCTCATATGAAGAAGAGTCAGGGAAAGAAGTAGGTCTAATTCTGACAACTTTAGAGGGAATATATTTAAAGTTAGACGTAATACTGGCCATGAGCTTCAATGATTAAAGAACCAGAAAACCAATTCTGAGCATAAGCAAAGAGTTATTGATATTTAGAGCTTGCAGTATGAATTTTTCAATCTTAACGATTGGATTAGGGGTTTTGGGGTTTTGGGGTTTTGGGGTTTTGGGG